TTTTAACATTCGCTGCTAGACCCGCACATTGTAGCGAATCACATTTGTTTCCTTCGTATTCTTTTGGTGAGATGTAAATCCCATTTTGACAAATTCTTCTCAAGAAATCTTAGACAGACACTCAGACATTTTCCACGATCTCTACAATCTTCATCTGTTCAAGTCTCGGGTTGACCTTTATCTTCCTCACATATCCTGTACTTCGAGTGGCTCTTGGGCCTTGTAAATTCATTTTATTCAGTTCACGCATATTGCACCGCTGTGGTCACCACTTACTCCATCTTACAATCGTCGTTCATGGTGACATCCAAGGTACTATAGTACACTCGCTTGCAGGCTCCTTTTGCGCCGTAGATCTTAAGGGTAACCAGTACCTCCTCTCAAATGTAGATTTGTTATTGTAGTTACCTTCTTCTAGCCTTTGCCTAAAGAGCAGGGTCTACAACGCAGCAGGTGGTTTTCAATTCAGATTTATTTTCTCCTAGACTGATTGCCAACCAGAGCAACTCAGTCTGATCTACTATTTTACCCATAGCCGGAGGGAGAAGAGATGGATTCATACTTTTCCTAGTTGGTATTAGCACGTAAGTTAATGTAATGAACTCAACTGGAATATGTACCCGGGTCTCTGATTCCTCAGTCTGAGCAGATGGATATTACTCCACCGCGAACATTACGGCAAATAAAAAAGTGTCATATTGGTAGAACATTGACAAATTACGATCAGTACTTTGCAGGAAATAATTTAACATGTGGAGTGTGTGAAAAGACTTGCAGAAAGTTCTGGTCTCATCAGGAAAACCCATGAAAAAGCTGGACAGAATTTATAGAACCGGATAGGTCTTGTATAATACAAAAATCCAAATCATTTACTGGCTTATGGAGACATTGCTGTTTTATTGTCCGAACAGCCACTACTACTGTCAGGCAAAATTTGTAAAATTCTCTTAAAATAGTTTTCCAGGAAAACTGTCCAGTAGCTGTTTTCTCTCTTCGAGTGTAGATGGGGTTATTCTTCCCATCCTAAAATTCGAAGTGGCAAATGTTAACATCTTGATTATGTCCCTATTTTCGCATCGAGTTGCACGTGCTATCCATTATTGTTGTTGCTGCTGCTGTTGGTCTTCTAGGAATGGGGTTTCTGTTGTTTAGTACAGTTCTTTGTTTGTGATTCTGTAGCGCCAGTCCAAGATATTCAAAGAAGGATTTTTCAAGACCGTCAGGCTTCACTTGCTCAAAGCCCTTTTTCACTATGGATCTTAGAAAAGGTTTGTTCACAACTGAGAGTTTACATATTTTTGAACAGGTTTGGCGCCATTCACGATATCCATATAAAAGTCTTAAACAGATGAGACTATTTAAGAACATGACTTTCAGGTTGATGATTTAGTTTCCTAGCCATTTGCGGTGTTGGTCGAAACTAACTCAGGGTCAACCTATTCTATGTTCAATTTCCTTTTCTCTTATACTTAATTCATTATAGCTGATCCATACGCTGAGCTATCGGAAGCGTTTCATACTTACTAATTCAACATCCTGAATTTTTATGATGGATTCATGATAGGTGTCAATCATTTCTTTGTTTCTAATTCCTGATCATATCTTCGGTTTTGAAAAGGAATGTTAACTTTAATGGTAATATTAGCCGTTTCCCTATAAGGAAACATTCGGCTTTCATTGACCGAGCACTTAGTACTGCTGTCGGTTAAAATTTATAAATTTTTTCTCTTAAAACAATTTTTTAGGAAAACAGATTTCTCAAGTCCAGTAGCTGTTATCGCTCTATCCATTACTGATGTCGGTTTCCTTCCTAACCTTTTGTTTGAAGTAGTGGATAATATCAGTATCTTTATTATGCTATTATATGTGCAATCCATGTCTGTTGAAATATTTACCTTGCAGCTCATGATTCTAGAAGCGAAATGAAATTTAAAATTTTCATAGAAAAAAATAATTTCATATATTTTAATTTCCTGAAAAAAAGTCGCCATTCCACTCAGAATTCTTCATCTAAAAACCAATAAATTCTTTGAACGTTTCTTTGGTTGAATTTGTTTGTAGGGGTGGTAATGATAATGGTAGTAGTAATGGTAATAGCAGTGATAACAATAATTGTAGTGGTAATGGTAATGGCAGTGTTGATGGTAATAGCAGTCGTAATAGTAATGATAAAGGTAATGGTAATGGTGATAGCAGTGATAATGTTAATGGTAATAGTAATGGTAATAATACTGATAATGTTGATGATAATGGTAATGAAATGGTAATGGTAGTTATAATGCTTGTGGCAATGATAATGTTAGTGGTAATGGTAATAGTTGTGTTAATGGTAGTAGTAATAATAATGGTAGTGGTAATGGTAATTTTAGCCGTTTACTGTAGAGCATTTGATTGTAATACTTTTCGAAAAATAGATTTCTCAAGTCCAGAAACTGGTATCGATCTTTTCAGTATCGATGGAAGATTCTTTCCTTGCCGTTTGTTTAGTGGAGGGTGAAATGCCACCCTCTTAAGTTACATATACTATCCGACAGCTTTTTTTCTTTCTTTCTTTCCTCGCAATTAAACGAAATAGCACATTATTTATCTAAGGTAATTCCAGAGCATAAAACAAGATGTTGAAGTTAATAATAATAATAATAATATGCGAATAAAAAAAATAATGATAATGATGATTTTGAAGATGATAATAATAATGATAACGATAATGATGATATTAACAATAATAATAATGATGATGATGATAATAATGATGATGATGATGTAATATGATGATGATAATAGCCATGACAATGATGTTGATGATGATGCATGATAATAATATTAATAATGACGATGATGATGCTGATGTGATGATGATGATGATGTAATATGATGATAATAGCCATGACAATGATGATGATGATGATGCATGATAATAATATTAATAATGACGATGATGATGATGATGATGTGAGGATGATGATTATAATAATGATGATGATGATGTAATATGATGATGATAATAGCCATGACAATGATGATGATGATGATGCATGATAATAATATTAATAATGACGATGATGATGCTGATGTGATGATGATGTAATATGATGATAATAGCCATGACAATGATGATGATGATGATGCATGATAATAATATTAATAATGACGATGATGATGATGATGTGATGATGATAATAATGATGATGATGATGTAATATGATGATGATAATAGCAATGACAATGATGATGATGATGATGATGCATGATAATAATATTAATAATGACGATGATGATGCTGATGTGATGATGATGATGTAATATGATGATAATAGCCATGACAATGATGATGATGATGATGCATGATAATAATATTAATAATGACCATGATGATGATGATGTGATGATGATAATAATGATGATGATGATGTAATATGATGATGATAATAGCAATGACAATGATGATGATGATGATGATGATGATGCATGATAATAATATTAATAATGACGATGATGATGATGATGATGTGATGATGATGATGGTGATAATAATAGTTATAACGAAGATGAAGTTGATGATGATGCATGAAGAGTACGATGATAATAATAATAGTGATGATTTTGAAGATGGTGATGAAGATGATAACAATATTAATATGAAAATAATAATGATGATGATATTGACTTTGACGATGACAGTAATAATGATAGCGATAATAATATTAACAATAATGATAATAATAATGATGATGATGATGATGATGGTAATAATAATAGTCATATCGATAATGATAATGATGCATGATAACAATAATGATGATGATATGATGATGATAATATGATGCTGATAATAGCCATGACGATGATGATGATGATGCATGATAATGCATGATAATAATAATAATGATGGTGATAATAATAATCATAACGAAGATGAAGATGATGATGCATGATAATAACAATAATGATTAAGAGTATGATGATGAGGCTGATAATAATAATAATAATAATAATAATAATAATAATAATACACTGTGTTGAAATTAGTAAATATCAAGCTTTCAAATGCCTAACGTGAATCGAGTTTTTTTTTTTCTCGCCAATGTAGATTTGGTTCCTGAGAAGAAAAGTTATTTTTTTTCTGCTGACGCCAGTTCTTCTATGAAACATGTCAGTTTTTTAGCAAATTGTCAGATATTTCCACACACACACACACACATGTATTAGTTATCTTTTGGGCTCATTCTCCCAAGATATGCAGCTGGAAGAACATGATTTGCTACCATAGAATGCGAACTGCATATTGCAGTGATGTTGTCAGGGATGGTAAGATTTTAAAAGTTTTCGGGATAATGGGAAGGGGTTAGAGAGCTCTTTGATAAAGGCAGCTTATAATTCAACTTGGATGCATACTGTAGAATTTGATAAAGCGAAAAATGGCTTAGATATCTAAAGAATTTTTGTTTCAGTTCTCTCTCTCTCTCTCTCTTTCTGTCGCAGTCTTTTGATTCCTGTAGGCGCGACAAAAAGCATTCCTGTAATTATTACGAGATAAAGAAAAAAAGAAAATTGGGGAAATAACGAAGATGTGGAAAGTTAGTGTGGAAGAAAAAAAAATTAATACGTCAAGAAAACAAGACGGTGAACAAATTGTTAATGTGAGCGTACAGTTTTACAATGTTCCAGTCACCAGCTTTATCTCACTATGTATGTATTTGAAGGTGTTAGATAAGTATACGTAAATGTTTTTGTTTATGGGGTTTTATGAAATTTAGGGATGAAATGAGATGTATAATAATAGGCTGATAAAATGAAGGAGAGATCAATATAAAGTGAGAAATGTAAAGACGGAAAACAAAGACGACGGAAAGAAATAAAGAAGGAAACGAATTAAAAAAAGAAGTGAAGGAGAAAAAATCAAAAAAAGAAAAGAAAGCAAAACAAATGAAAGAAAATTAAGACAAAATAAAGGTAAAAAGAATCAAAAGAAATTGAATAAAAGAAAAAATATTAAGACGTTAGAAAATGAAAATTATATATATAAAAAAAAGCGAAAAACGAAATAAGGGTGTGGAGAAAATTTTAAAGCAGATAGAATAAGAAGGATAGAGACGAAAATGAATCGAAACGACAAAAAGAAAGAAAGACGGAAAAGAAAGAAAAAAATTATTCAAAATAACAAAGAAAGAAAGGATAAAGAAAAAGAAAAGAAAAGAGAGCGAAAGAAAAATGAATATAATGGAATATATTAAGTCGTAAATAAATGAAAACTTAAAAAAAGTTTTAAAAGAAAGAAGAGGAAAAATGAAAAATAAAAAATGCGGGTATGGACGAAAAACAGAGAATGTAAAAGAAATATAAAGAGATTTTATCAAATGAGCCAAAAAAGGAAGAAAATGACGGAAAAAAATGAAGATAACTATTTAAATGCAAAGAAAGAGACCGAAAGAAAATAATTAATAGAAGAAAAAAATACTTACTCGTCAAGAAATTAAAACGACGAAGACAAAAGAAATATGGTAACGAAAATAATAATTTTTATGTGTGTGTGTGTATATACATATACATATATAACCTAAGGAAAGAAAGAGAGAAAAAAAATAAATGAAAAATATGAGATGTTACGAAATTAAACTTATTAAAAATAATGACATAAAATGAAGGAAAGGGACGGTCACAAAAAAAGGAAAGAAAGAAAAACCATGAAAAAAAAGGATAAGAGAAAAAGTCGGGTGGGGGAGTAGGAAAAAACAAAAAAAAAGAATAGTTTTTAAAAAAAATCTATTTAAGGGAAAGAGGCCAAAAGAAAATTCAATAAATATAAAATATCAACGAGTCGGGAAATTAAAATTATTTAAAAACTGGTATCAAACGATAGGAATTCAGTGATAAAAAGGAAAAGAAGAAAGAAAACGAAAGAAAAAAACAATGAACAATGAAGATAAGAAAGTCAAAAGAAAAAATAAAGAAAAGAAAAGCAAATACACACACACACACACACACACACACACACAGACACACACACACACACACACACATATATATATATATATATATATATATATATATATATATATGAATGCTGGGTTGGTATAAGTGGAATAAAATTCCGATAACAAAACCATTATTTTTTTTTTTTTTAAAAGTGCTCAGTACAAAGTACACTGAATTATATTTCTTTAAAAATCATAATATAAGCATGTTATAACATCATTAGAAAAATAGCCATTTTGTTTTGGTGTCTTGCCAAGTGAAGATGTTGACTGTAAAATAAAGAGTTTTAAAGTGTAACCTCCCAATAGGGGTAATATTATTACTTAAGTACTGATGGCCAACCAAAAGTATTTGATACTTCAAATGATTTGACAACGGACCCTTGATCCAATTTATTAATGCTTTAATATTAATATTAGATTAAATTAGAAATAAATATAGCTAATTAACTTTTATTTACTATGTAGTTAAAAAATAAAAATTAGAAATATTAAATTTTAAATATCAACATGCATTAAGTTTAAAATATTACAAAATTGTTCAAAGATAAAACGAGGAAAATATAATTATATTTTCATGTATTGTTCTTAGCTATATGTTAAGTTTTTCTTTCCATTCGGCGATGATATAAGAGGTATCCATTATTGCTATAAATTAGTTATAATGGTATATATATATATATATATATATATATATATATATATATGATGAAATATAGTCTTAAGGTTTGCTATATTTATGGGATAAAGTGCTCAATATCAGAGATAGAGCATGTATAAATATAAAAGTGAACATTGAAGTCAACACTTAGAGGCGACAGTCTGTTGCATGCTAGACGAAATCGTCAGGCTACATGACGATTGCGCCTGGCATGAAAACAGACATCGCCTCTAATTCCTGTTCACTTTCATATATATATATATATATATATATATATATATATACACACACACATATATATATATATATATATATATATATATATATATATATATATATATAAACTTAAAAAAAATTAGGAAGTCAGATGTCAGATAGAATACGCTGGCATGGTTTCGACCACACGGTCTCATCCTGCTAATTCTATCAACTGATCATCCAACCAAAGCTTCATTTCAAAAAAGAAAAAAAGGAACGCCATATTATTATTTTTCAAAGATAAATAAATAAGCACACGCCCGACGGTCAGATGCTGAACGTTGAGTGTAATAGAAAGAGGTGGGTAGGGAGAAGCAAGAAGAAGGAAAAGAAGATGAAGGGTGAAGAGAAAAAGAGAAAGCAAGTGTATCGTTAATGTACAAAGAAAAGTAGTAGAAAAGAAAAGCAAATTAAACGTACATTTAAGCAAGGGTGTCTTGTAAATATAGGGAAGGATATGAGGGGGGGGTGAGTAGCAAACGTATTGTAAAAATAACACTGGGGTGTCTAAATCTATTTTTTTATCCGGCCTCATATTCACTTAATTTTTTTTTTTTTTTTTTGATATGAAGACAAGGACTTAATATTTCAGATCTCTGATTTAAATTTTTTGGGGAACTGGAAATGTCATCATGGATAATTTCACATATTGACAAAGGGTAGCAAATGCTGGTATCCTTCCTCTATGGTTTTACCTTTTTTAAAATTTTCCAACTTACGAACAGGTATCTGTCTATATTTCTGAGATGAGGTATTATGTACACTATTTATATTTTTCAGACTATTGTCCTCATCTTTGTCGTCATATTTATTACAACGTTTCAGCCGTTGTACATTACGGCCTTCTTCAGGTGGTTGGAATGTCGAACTGAACCCTTTATTTCGCTCACTGGGGTAGCTTGTTCTAGTTCCACGGGCCATGTTTAATGGATGTCAGTTATCAGTTATCTCCTGTTAATTCCCCTCTGCAAGTTTTCCACTGCCTTAACCGGGTATTGAACTCACACTCTTTATGTCCTGTCACTGGATGTAACTAACGCTTTTTTCCACTGTGACATGTGTACTTGAGGACATCTGTGTATGAATTTGACTTTTGTTCGTTCGTTTGTTTGTTTGTTTCTTTCGTTTTACTCATTCTTTCTTTCGTTTTCTTCCTCTCTTTTTATCTTTCTCACTTTTCTTCCATTTTCTTACTTTTTCTTCCTCCTTCACACTATTTCTTTCTATTTATTTTCTTTCTTTCCATTTTTCTCTTTCTTTCTTTCATTTTCTTTCTCTCATTTTCCTTTCCGTTTCTATTTCTTTTTCTTTCTTTCTTTCTTTCTTCCTTTGTTTCTTTTTTCTTCCATTCTCTCTTCTATTTTAACGTAATACGTTTCCCATCTTTACTTTTGTCTTTTCCGCTTTCCTTCCGTCTTTCTTTCGTTTTTTTTATTCTTTGTTTCTTTTTCTTCCTCTATTTTTATCATTCTCACTTTTCTTTCGTTTTCTTTCTTTTATTCCTCCCTCAGTCTATTCCATCTTTTCTTCCTTTATATATTTCTTTCTTTCGTTTCATGTATTCTTTGTTTCTTTTTCTCCCTCTCTGTTTATCTTTCTCACTTTTCTTTCGTTTATTTTTTTCTTCCTCCTTTACCCTATTTCTTTCTATTCATTTTCTTTCCATTTTCTCTCTTTCTTTGTCTTTTGTTTTCATTCACTTTCTATTTCTACCTTTTCACCTTCTTTCTTTCATCTCCTTTCTCTCTCTCTCTCTCTCTTTGTATTTGTTTTTTCTTCTTTCTCTCCTTGTGGCTTTGTCCTTTCTGCTTTCCTTCAGTCTTTCTTTCTTTTCCTTTCTTTCTCTCTTTCTTTCTTTCTTTACTTTTCATAAGTTTTATTATCAGCTCATAAATTAGTTGTTCTTTCATTATATTGTTGTTGCTTTTCTCTCTCTCTCTCTCTCTCTCTGTATATATATATATATATATATATATATATATATATATATATATATGTCTATGTCCCAGTTCCTTTCTTTTTTGCTTTCTTTCTTTCCGAGTCTTTATCTATCTATCTATCTATCTGAGTCGGCAGTCAGTACATTATCTATCTATCTATCTACATGGTAGAGTATAGGGAGGGATTAATTTCATATCTTTCAATCATACTTAGTATTGGGGGAGGAGGAGTGACCAGACCTTGACCTATTTAGACGGTTAACTTAACGGAAGTGATATATTGAAATGGGATGGGATAAGGGAGAAAAGAAAAAGGGAAAAGAAAGAAGAGGGAGAGGGAAGTAAAGAGAAAGAGGCTCTAATTGGGTTTTAGCAATTTATGTAAAGAATAGATTTTAATGCTTGGTATTAATTTAGATGTCTAAAAAAAACCCGAATAAATTAATTTGATGTTTGCTATCAATTTAAATATTTTTTTTTAAACAAATAGTTTAGGGATTTAATATAAGTTAAATACTATATTTATTAACACATATATAGAGAACATATTGTAAAAAATATATTTTAAATTATAATAGTTTGTTTACCCGACCAATCGTACTTTTTTAATATTGTAAAAAATAGTTACGGTAACATCTTTAAATCTAATTTATGAATGCAATTTGTAATTATTTTTATATGGGTAATCTTTCTTTCTAACAGCAGTGATCACAAATAATGGTTGCTTGATAGGATTTGAACCCGGCTCCTCTATTCTTGAACGCCCTAACAGAAACCGACCTCCACATCGCAATAAAAAGAAAGAAAGGAAATCGTTTATAAACGAATGAAACAATACCTAAACGTGTATAAATGAGCCTTTAATGAGGGGAGTTGTTTCTATTCAATCTTGTTTGGCGTTGTCTTGATGTTAGATGCCACAACGTGAACGGTAGATTTGAAGAGAACTCTATTTTATCAGAAGAACAAATGTAAGGAATAATTGATTATCCAGGTTTGAATTAAAATGTATAAGCGAGAGTGAGAGAGAGATAGAGATAAAAGAGAGAGAAGTGAAAGATAGAGATATAAAGAGATAATTGAAAGAGAGATAGAAAGACAGAATGGAAATACGGGGAGAAAGAAAAAGAGAGAGAGGATATAGAATAAGAAAGTCAAAACAAGAGAAAGAAAGAAAGAAAAATAGAAAGAAAGAAAGAAAGAAAGAAAGAAAGGAAAATAGAGAGAAAGAAAACAAAGTTAACGAGGGAATAAAAGGAAAGAGAAGGAGAGAGAGAGGATGTGTAATGGGACCTTACCCATAATGATATAATGGACTATTCCATACGTAATAAATACTGCGCCGCAAGAGGAAGCAGAGAGGTCAGCCCAAACTCTCTCTGCCTTCGGGCGGGGAGGAACCCGAACGAGGCTACGCCGAAGACCGGAGTCTCTTTCGGGGAAGTAAACCGACCCTGAACCCGTTTATACGGGTTTTAAAAGGGCATATTTTTGGCCAAGGCCACAGGCTCGGAGATCCCACGTTAAACCGGCCTTGTGCCACATGATGCCCTCTTGGTTGGAGGGGGTGAATATTGTTCAGCCTGAAGTCGGGCGACCGGCTGACCGGCTGATCGGTTGAACTCTCTGCCTTCGGGCGGGGAGGAACCCGGACGAGGCTACGCCGAAGGGTGGAGTCTCTTTCGGGGAGGTAAACCGACCCTGAACCTGTTTATACGGGTTCAAAGGGCATATTTTTGGCCGATCCCACAGGCTCGGAGATCACACAGGCTCGGAGATCCCACAGGCTCGGAGATCCCACGTTAAACTAGCCTTGTGCCACATGATGCCCTCGTGGGGGAGGTGACTAAATACCGTTCAGTCTGAAGTCTGGAGTGAAGTCTGTCAGGAGTCTCTCAATCAGTCAGAGCGAACGAGTCAGTCAGTCGAGTCAGAGGCAGTCCGAAACAGAGTCGCGTTCAGATAATTACTACTAAACCTGATTGTTCGTACTAACACTTTCTTCTTCTCTGTATATATTCCTGTTTCTAATATATCTGTGTTAATTCATATCCGTGTTCGAGGTCTTCTTTATTGGTTCTACCTTGGACTATCGCCGTGGTACAAGGAACCGGACCATAACAGGAAGATAGGGAAAAAAAGAGAGAAAGGAAAGAGAAAGAGAAAGAGAACAATAAAAAGGAAACAGAGAGAATGAGAGACGAGAAGCAGAGAGATAAAGAGAAAAAGAAAGCGAAAGCGAAAGAGAAAAGAGAGATATAAAAAGGGGAGTGAACAAGAGAAAGAAAGAGGAGGAGAATAGAGAGAGACAGCGAAGTGAAAGATATAGATAAAGCAAGAAGGGTTAAAAGAGATAGAAAGAGAATGAGAAAGAATAAAGGGAAAACTGATATATAACGAGAGTAGAGAAAGAGATTGAAAGAGAAGGAGGAGGCGAGAGAGAGAAAGAGAAAGAGAGAGAGAATAATAATAAGAAGAATTAGATGGGTGACCGTTTGGAAATACTAGTTGTAAGCTTGGATGTACGGGTGGTGCAACGTCTTGAAAGTCGGAGAGCCAAGTTCCAATTCCAGTTAGGTTCACTTACGCAAAATTTAAGAAGTTACGTCTCCCCCATCTATGGGTTAATTAGTAGGACTTTTATATGAAAAGCATTATTTTTTTTTTGTTTTTTAAATCTTACAGACTAAAATTATTTTTCTGGTTTGAAATAACCTGCATCGAGTCGATAAGCCGTAACAATCAATTCAATCAATAAATATTCCTTGAGTGGCTCTTTGGTCTTGTATTTAATGAAAGACTGGCCGAAAAGGAAGTCCTACGAGGCTGAAAAGTAATAGGAAGAATTAAGTGCAATGACAAGAAGAGGAGAACAAGTTAAAGAAAAAGAGAAAGAAACGCACGAAAAAGATCCGGTTTAAATCATAGACAAAGAAAATCATTGGAATATTCGTAAAATTAAGGAATCAGCACATATGCTAGGCCAGAAAAATGTCCTGAGCCGACCAAGCATAGAAATGAATACAATATCGGAACCAGTTATAAGGAGTGCCAGAGAAAAGCGATGATAACAGCGAAAATTGCAATATGAGAACTGGTAGAAAAACGTTTGCTGAAAGTATTAAGTTTATAATACCCAGAAATTCATACACAGATCTCCTCAAGGACACATGGCACAGTGGATAAAGGAGTTAGACAGGACCCAAAGAGTGTGAGTCAATTCCTGGGTAAGGAACACATGGAGAGGGGAATTAACAGGAGATAACTGATAACTGACATCCATTAGACATGGCACGTGGAACTAGAACAGACAACCCCAGCGAGCGAAATATAGAGTTCAGTTCGATATTCCAACCACCTGAAGAAGGCCGAAACGTTGTGATAAATATGGCAACAAAGATGAGGACAATAGTGTGAATAATGTAAATAGGGAACAAGGGAAGATGAAAGATAAGAGACTGGGGAAAACGGAAGTGAAGATGAAAACCCAAAGTTGGAATAAAACGAAAAGAGAGAGAGTTAGAGAGAGATTAAGAGAGGGTGAGAGGGGGGTGATAATGAAGTAGAGGAAGTAATTGTCCATTAGTAAGCATTTGTCCTTAGTTCGTAAATCGTACTAGATATGCAGATAAACCACATCCGACAGGAAGATCTCTACCCACGAGATTTTGAGGGACATAGAACAATTAATTGCTGTTGTTCGAACCCAGGGATGTAGCATCTGTTAGGTGTCCCAGCTACGGGCGATTTGTTTACCCCAATCTGAGGTCAAACCACTATAAAAGTATAAAAATAGATTTTTATAGTTAAAATAACAGAAACTCAATTTTGAAAAAAAAATATTACCAGGAATACATTTGACTCTCGACAAAAACCCTTTTTATGGCAATAAAACCCATCTACAGACCGATTTATTAAAAGAATACATATTCTATTCATAAAATCCTATCCTAAAAAAAAACTCTTGTCGACATTAAATAACCTAACCCATGGTGGTGTTGATATGCATTAAAACAAAATAAACTAAAGCAGATTCTCTACAAAAACTCTTTATAAAATTATGTCAATGAAACCTGATCTATAAGATGATTTCTTACAAAGAATACATATTCTATTCATACGAACCTATCCTAAAAATCTTATCGACATTAAATAACCCATAGATGTGTTGATATGCCGTAAAAGAAAAGAAAGCTAAATCAAAACTAAACCTTATTTCGTGAAGTTTGTTTCGCGCTGGTTCACCTGAGAATTCATCATCATCATCATTCTTCTTCTTCTTCTTCTTCTTCTTCTTCTTCTTCTTCTTCTTCTTCTTCTTCTTTCCTTCCTTTCTTCCTTTCTTCATTAGAAGAACAATCATTTGTAAAATGACATTAACAAAACATTTAATGCCATGTTACATTTCTACCAGTTTACAGTCACCTACTTGATATAGAAACGATTCTTTTTCAAAAAAGTTCCATAACAACAGTGCATACATTTTTAAATCCTAAAAGATCTATAACAGGGCGCGTCCACCATCACAACACAATGCAGATTTTATCGCACTTACAATAAATTTACCCCTGAAGATGATCTTAGAAAAGATCGAAAGTTCTTGGATTAGAAAAAAATTCAGCGCCTTCCATGGGGAATTTCATCTTAACATCAAGAAACTGATTAGACAATTGGACAGGACCAGTATAAAAAATAGACAAAATATATCTATATTATTCAATGAAAAATATTTGAATGAAAATATGCTGCCTAAACATATTCTGTTTTTATTTATTGATTCAACAGTATATTTATCTATTTACCTCTAAAGGGATGATTATTAGAGAAATCTTGTTAGAAAAAAATGTGCGTACCCGGCAGAACAAGATATTTCGAATATTCAACCGGTAGATCTAAATAAATAAATATACAGTTTAATAAATAAATAAAAAAATAGTATCTACTCAAATATGAGTATCCATTTAAAAAATAATAGTTAAACACACACACACACACACACACACACACACACATAAAAAAATCAACATTAGAACCAAAGACACTTTTCTCTCAATGGAACTACTATAAACTCTTGACTTATATATATATATATATATATATATATATATATATATATATATAAAGTCAAAGAGAGAATGAAGTGAATTGATATAAAAGATATATATATATATATATATATATATATATATATATGCTGTGATATATAGATAAATAAATACATATATTTTAACAGACAGATTTTTTTTTAAAGAGAACTACCATAAAATACCGATATACGCAACCACAACTAAATCCAAAATTTCAAAATTAATCAGTTTGTCTGACGATCGCAAAGGGCATAAAACCCAGGGTCACAAACTCACATTAACGCGACTAAATATATTAGCTCTATCGCTTATGGAGCGCTTTCCAATAATTAACGCGCATATATAATATATAAATAATATATATAACAATTGCATATATATATATATATAGATATGTGTGTGTGTGTGTGTGTGTGTGTGTGTGTGTGTGTGTGTGTGCGTGCGTGTGTAAAAATATATAGAAAATAGGAAAGAACTCGTTAGGTAAATAATCCAAAGTTCTTTAGTATTTTTGTTATAGTTTTTAAAAAATAGTACTCGATACAAAAGTAGAGCATAAATACCACGCGTAAATTTCAGGAATAATTAAAAAAAATTCGCTTGAAGATGGAACAGAGCTTAGTACTTTAATTCAGTTTAATTCATATAATTATATTGAAGTTTTCGGCTCTTGTTTTGAAACATGACAACTCTTATGTAGCGTTGGAATCATATTTTTAAATAAATAATTATAATTATATATATTTATATGTATATATATACTTATATATATATATATATATATATATATATATATATATATATATATATATAGATAGATAGATAGATAGATATGCAGACATATTTTGTTAAAATAGGAAACGAATGTTTATTATGTTTCATCATGAGCTGTTCCAAGAATCGTATAATGGCTTCAGTTTCAAGAGAAAATAAAAACGAAAACTGTTCAACATTTGAATATTTTGTTCATTGTATTGGTCGTCGATCTTTGAGGATGAACATCTCTGTTGTAAAGTCCATATAAGCATTTTGATGATGCCTCATGGGAATCGAAAGCTTAGAAGGACGACCAATGTATACTAAAGAAATATCCAAATGTTTGGCAAATCTTGTCTTAATATTCTCTTGAAACCAAAACCATTATACGAAGTATGGAACGACTCATGATAGAACGCAATAAACATTCACTGTTATATTTAACAATATACGCCTGTATAATGATCTGCTGCTTTATATATATATATATATATATATATATATATATATATATATATATATATATCTGTGTTTGTGCGTGAGAGAGAGAGAGAATGAGTGAGTGAGAGTGAAGAATGTATTTACTTAAGTAATGTTCAATGTTTTTTGCTATTTTTACATTTGCTTGTAATCAGTTCTTTATTATTTTAGGTTGGGGTGTTTTCCATCCCTGCTTTTGCTATTAGACAATAGCCTTGTGTCCGGCAGTTGTAAATCATGGGTAACCTCTGTACCTTTGAACTGTCCTTCTTAGAGATTCCGGATGCTGGAGGAATTTGAAGTGCAGATGTCAAAGGAATTTCCAAACTGTTTGATCTGAATCCCACCTCGAGTTATTCCCAAGGATTCCGGGGGTACAACGTCTCGTTAAATTCGGACAGGCAGGAGAGGATTAAAAAAAAAGAGAAAAAATCCAAAAAGAAACAACATCTGCCTGATCTAAGAAAATGAGCCAGTCCATTCATATTTTGAAGATTTTCTGCCCTTCTCAAAGCCATGCATAAGCACTTGTAAAAATGCACGCATACTCGGATAGCAACATCTTTGCAGTTTCAAACGGAAAGAAAGCGTGTGAGATGAGTATCTGGTGGTGCGTTAAAATGGTAACATGTAAAGAATACTATTTGTATATTTACACACAGACAAATACATAGACACACTTTATATATATATATATATATATATATATATATATATATATATATATATATATATATATTTTATTTATTTATTTATTTAAAAATATGATTTCAACGCTACATAAGAGTTCTCATGTTTTAAAACAAGAGCCGAAAACTTCAATATAATTATTTGAATTACATTGAATTAAAGTACCAAGCTCTGTTCCATCTTCAAGCGAATTTTTTTTTTTTTTATTAACTTATTCCTGAAATTTACGCGTTTTATAAGCATATTCATTATTGAAATTAAGATTACTATGGTAACGGCTAGAGCAATTGTTTAAAGAAAAGGGGCGTAAGGTTTAATAATTTGTATCAATATCTCAATTACATTCACAGACGTCAAGTCAGGGTAAGGTTGGGGTGTCTAAATTTAAAGCGGAAGATGACATCGTCTAGTCTGGTTAAGTGTCTATGGAGATTTATTTATTTTTTATTTTATTTTTATTTTTTTCCAAAAGGGTTTTGTATATATATATAAAAAAAAAACCTGTCATAAGTCGCTAACATTTGTTTTTTTGACGACTTCATAAAGGGTTATCTTTTTTTTTTCTTTATAGGGCATTTAACTATTTATTTAGACTATGGAATTGAAAAATTATATGCTTTACAATTCTATCGAGCAATATTTTTTTAAAAATAATACTAAAAATACTAAAGAACTTTAGATTATTTACCTAACGAGTTCTTTCCTATTTTCTATATATTTTTACACACACACACACACACACATATATATATATATATATATATATATATATATTATGGGGTCCGTAAATGGTAAGGATAATGCAAGTACGATAGATCCATGAAGAGAGCTTAATATATTGTGTACAGAGTAATATGATATACACCCAAGGAAAAAATGTCTTAAAACATCTCGAATAAATAATAAATTTATTTCAGCAGGTAAGTTTTTTCTACCTGCTTCATCAAACCGAAATTACAAAAAAATATTTTTTTAAAAATTTCGTTATGAGCATGTGAGTATCCATAAAAAAAATAACGCTTAAACAAAATAAATGAAAAACAACAATATGTCGGATCTGATTCATTTCATATATATATATATATATATATATATATATATATATATATATATATATATATATATATATATATATATAGAGAGAGAAAAGATAGATAGAGAGATATGAACACACAAAAATAGACAGATATGAACTCACAAGGATAGATAGATAGATAGATAGATAGATATGAACTCTCAAGTATGGATAGATATGAACACATAGATAGATAGATATGAACAAATAGCTAGCTATTTTGATAGATAGGAATGCACAAAGACACATATGAACACACGTGGATAGATAGATAGATAGATAGATAGATAGATATGAACACATAGCTAGATAGATAGGTAGATAGATAGGAACACACAAGGATAGATAGATAGATATGAACACATAGCTAGATAGATAGGTAGATAGATAGGAACACACAAGGATAGATAGATAGATATGAACACATAGCTAGATAGATAGGTAGATAGATAGGAACACACAAGGATAGATAGATAGATATGAACACATAGCTAGATAGATAGGTAGATAGATAGGAACATATAGCTAGATAGATAGGTAGATAGATAGGAACACACAAGGATGGATAGATAGATAGATAGATAGATAGATAGATAGATAGATAGATAGATATTATTATATAAAGAATGAGGTTGGGAGATAAATAGACATTGCTTAATCCACTCGAGGCCCTAAATCGTACATGATGATCTCTTCTTTTGTATTTCGTCCGAATCTTTGTTCATCCGTCGCACTGCGGCAAATCACTTCCTCTGCCCGGAGACGTCCTTTTTGGAATCCTCGGACGAAAATAACTTCGCCTTAATGACATCGGAGCAAGAAGTGTTTGATCTGAATAATTACATGCACACACACGCACACGCACGCACGCACCTACACACACGCATATATATATATATATATATATATATATATATATATATATATATATATATATATATATATGAGAGCTAAATAACTCACAAACATAATACTTCACTACGTCCCTTAATCTCACAAATCCCAAATCCTCAGCATTAAGTATTAAACACCTAAACCAACTGAATTCTATGTACATTATTCGGACTGCTATCCTAATCTTCATTGTCATATTCACAACGTTTCACCTGCAATACGCTCAGGCCTTCTTAAAATGATTTGAATTTCGAACTGAACCCTTTATTTCGCCCACCGGGTAGATTGTTCTAGTTCCACGTTTCATGCCTCTTTCGGATGTTTCAGTTATTTCCCTTTAACTCAACTATTCAAGTTTTGGGGTTCTCCACTGTTGTAGCCTGGTATTGAACTCACAGCTCTTTGGGTCTCATCACTGGATCCAACCAACGCCTTTATCCACTGGACCCTGAAAACCTCAAGAAGTGCCATGGCATGTGGGGCTCTAACAATGTAGACGAAATAAATTGTTCGGTTCGAAGTTCTAATCACCTGAAGATGGTTGGAGCTTACAATGACCGAAAAGTTGTGAATATGACAATAAAGATGAGGATAATAGTTCGAATAATGCAATTAATGTAAATAATCATAATACCTCATCTCAGAGATATAGACAGGGATGATATTTCCATATTTACTCAGTAAATATAGCGTTCACTGCACTATCAAATTGTGCGAGATTCTACAGTCTAAAAACTTCGAATATCCGCATTCTAGCCTTTCTAAAAGGTGTCGACTTATTTACTTATGTCCCCGTAAAAGAGACTATAGACCTTGTCCCAAAAAAGTATCTAATCATCCTTGAAACGCACCTCTGAAACATAGACCAATTATTCTACGAAATCTTGTTTCATACTGCACGACCCATGTTCAATTTTACGACCACTATGGCAACATTTTTACACAAAAACTAAATACGTAGCGATGGCTCCAGTCGTTAGACAGACTCAATCTAGTTTCTAGATGTGCCATATGTTAAACAAAGGATTCAAGAATTCGTCGAAGCCACCCAACCTTAAACACACCTTATATCGAAGACATATTCATATTGGAAAACAGCTTTGAACAGATTAAAACCTGAAAGACATATCTCTATCTATAAAAGGCAGGATGTGTGCGTGTGCAACATCAGTCACCATGTTTTGTTGCATTGATACTTGTTCTTTTTTCCTTTCTTCAAAACAACCACACTTTTCTCTCATTTTCACTCTCCATAACCCCCTGTGTGATAATGGCACTTCTGACTTGCTTGGGATGAAATGCTTAAAAAAACAAAAAAAATCCCAAACATTGAATATAAAATAATTAGGGTACTGACAAAAGCATTAATAAAAATAATTAGGGTACTGAAAATAGCATCTACCACAATCAAAGGTAAGGCTCTCCCTACCAACAGCTAAAATAACAAAAAAGTGCTCAAAACAATATATATATATATATATATATATATATATATATATATATATATATATATATATATATATATATAAGCAGGATGTGTGTGTGTGTAACAGATGCACAGCCGCAATTTTCGACAGTTTGCACCAAAATTTACATGCATGCCCCAAAGGTAGCGGAAAGGCCAAGACCGACTTTGCATTTCCCAACTCCCATCGATAGTGGAAATAATCGATTTTTTCATGGTTCTACGGCTGTTTTCATGTAGTTTGCGGTCATTTTCTACTGGCCAGGGTGAGAGCCTATAGCTGGCTGCCACGAATAGGCAGGGAGATTCTGTTGGCCAGCGTGAGAGCCAACAGCTGACTGACACGAATATTAACTAGCATGCAAAAAAATCGATAGCTGTATTCGTCACAAGTGGGAAAAATTTAAATCTGCATGGCACTTTAATCCAATTGGCTCATTCGCTTGCTTAAACTCAACGTTGATTCTGATTCCGCAGAACTGGGTTTGGGTGTGAAAAAGTATTTGTTGTTAACATTCTTTTTTCATTCGGTTTTTCCAGTTACGAGTCCTTTTTTAAAGCTGTTCGTTTTATGTTCATTTTGTTTAGTTCTTTTTTCGTTACAGATTTAATGTTTAGTATAGAGCTTAGAAAAAATTGGCAGTATGAGATAGGCAAGAAGTAAGGCATGTAGCAACATCAGCACGGCAAACGGCACCTCTTTAAAGGCAAGGAAGGGCAAAAATATTTTAAGTCAAGTGAGAGCGATTGCTGTATGTGTCGTACGATTTTTGAATCAAGCACGGGCAACGTCGTGCAATGCTGCTAGTTTTAGAATAATTCCATCCTACACTTACTAACAATAAAATCTCTTTCCTTGACGTATCAGTTGATTCCAATCGCCATAATTTACCGCCCAACTTTATACAAAATCTCACCAGCAGAAACTCCTATTTACTCAACTACAAAAGTGAATATGCTCACAGATACAAAACAGCTTTTATGAAAACATAATTTACCGAGCCAAAGAAATCTCGTCAGACATATTATTCTTTAAGGAAGTTAGCAAGATAAAACAAACCCTAATCAAATCGTCTACGAACAAATAAATTTGACCTTAACGAAATTTAGAATAAATTACGCCAGACCTTTTGTTGCCTCAAGCAAATATAAACACATTAACTTTATCGTAACCAAATGCACTCTAATTATAAGCTCTATGAAAAAGCAATTAAAAGCATAATTCACTGATATATATCACTTAATTTTCCTAAGATTTATAATGTACTAAAAAATTTTAAAATTTTGTATTAATTATTACCAGCAATACCGTCATTTATAAGTAATTCCGATGTAAAAATCACTTTGTCTCTGTATACCCGGTTAAGGCAGTGGAGAACTTGGAGAGGGGAATTAACAGGAGATAACTGATAACTGACATGGCACATGGAACTAGAACAGTCTACCCCAGTGAGCGAAATAAAAGCTTCAGTTCGACATTCCAACCATCTGAAGAAGGTCGGAGCGTACAACGGCCGAAACGTTGTAATAAATATGGCGACAAATATGAGGACAATAGTCCGAATAATGTAATTAGTGAACATTTTTACTTTTACACGTTTTGTACAATTTTGGTGTTACAACCTTTATATATATATATATATATATATATATATAAATATATATATATATATATATATATATATATATATATATATATATATATGTGTGTGTGTGTGTGTGTGTGTGTGTGTGTATATATATATTTAGGTAATAATCCGTTGGTAAATAATCCAAGTGAATCCTGATATAAAATATTAAAAATACTCCACAAAAAGAGCTCGGTGTATTTATTATATCAGAACGTATAAATTACATAGACTAAAATACTAAGATACCTCATTCGAATAGCTATTTCGACACTCTTACTCGTAGGCATTGTCAACTCAGAGATAGAGTAAGTTTTGTGTGTCGAAATACCTATTCGACTGAGGTTACTTTTGGATTTTTTTCTTCTATATATATATATATATATATATATATATATATATATATATATATATATATATACTAGCAGTAGAGCCCTATTGCCGGGATGTAACAGGAATAGATAGATCAAGTATCGACCATCATAAAGACTGAAAAATAAAATTGACAAAGATTATTGTTTAAGGTTGACGGACACGCATGTCTTAAATATTTTTTTTTGCTTTGTTTTTTTTTTTTTTTTTTTTTAATTGGTCAAACCAAAACCTTGTTTTCAATCGTCATGAGTCTACCGATTGAATAGAATTTTATTATAAACAATTGTCTTGTAAATGGAATTTTAAAGCATTATGAATGTAAAAATAAAGAAAAAGTGTGCAAAAATAAAAACACTACCTTGCCAAAAAAAAGAAGTTTTATTGAAATTTGAAAATGTAGTCTGATCCCATATATAAAAACGAATACAGGGACACACAGAAACAACCTGGGTTTTCTAATAAAGTAAATATTTTCATCCTTTTATTCTCGCGATAGCGATTTTTTTTTTTCGTTTAATTGTACTTTTCCAATTTTTTGTCAAACCACCGCAAGGTAATTTACGTAGTCCTGTGAAGTTTTGTTAAAAATCGGTTTGAAAATGTAGGAAATCCGATCAATATATAAACGAACAGACACACACACAACCTGGTTTTATAATAAGTATGATATATATATATATATATATATATATATATATATATATATATATATATATAATATTTTTCACTCGTCAATTTTAGTACAATTTGTAGTCGTACTGGTCACCACATCCCAAACAATCGAAATACATATGAATAAATCGAATTTTAGTATGCGAAAACATAATCCTGTTCTCATTGTAAAGAAAAACTCAAAATTTTAAAAAAACATTCTAATGAAATCTATACCTTTTCAAGCGTCAGATGAAACCAAAAATAGAATATTGCTGAATGGTAAAAAATCCTCAAAACCTTAACAGAAAAAGATCCTTCATGCGTTCTTGTGTGTGTGAGCGGGATCATTTTGCACCATGCAGAGCATTTAGAGCATTTAGCTGAAACGAAGGATGTCTTTATTACTGTCTGTAATGTACAAGGAAATATAAAAAAAATATAATTCATCTTATATTCAAAGATACAAACGTTTATTATGGATATCTCTTGGAATTCAAGCTCACTTCAGACTCATAGATGAACTCATATATATGATATCATTGGATAATGCTTGATTCATAGTGTAGACGCTGTAAGCACTATATTTTCTTGTGTATATGATTTTAGCGAAAGTGAAAGACGAAGACGTTTTCATAAATGTTTATTCTGCTTAAAAACTAAGAAAGATTTTATAATAGATGATAGACCTCAACTTGGGCAGGTGTTGATAACAATTGTTTGAAAAATGTTTTTCATATATCGGCCATATTTATTCTTTGGGTATCAACGTAACTGAACGTCTTTTCTTTCAAAGAC